TTATGAATTCTCAAAAAAATTGATGAATAGGCATTTTATAGCTTTAACCCTGCAAGTGTTTCTTAATGAGTATACTAACTGCCCTGGGGCACGTAGGTAAGTGTAAATGCTGTGGTTTGAGCCGAGTTTTCATCTGTAATCCCAGTGCTTGAGGTAGCCAAGGCCAGAGGATAACCCAAGCCCAGGAATTGGAGACCAGGCTGGACAATGGAGTGAGACCATGTTTCTTTCTTTGTCTTTGTTTTTTTTTTTTTTTTTTTTTCAATGACAAACACTGCAGTGTGGCTTAGGGTTTGCCCTGTGCCCTTGTGGGGTGGCTCACTCCTGGGGCACTCCTGGGCAGCATGGTCGGATCGCCAGGTGGCGGGCAGGCAGACGGTGTCCCAGCTACCTCCACCTCCTCCTGCCCAGCCGGCTGTTTCACACTCATCTTTTAAGGTCAGCTGTCTTCTTGGCAAAAATGTCCTCCAAGGGCCTCCAAGATAGATCGAAGACATGGTGGAACAGCACAGGCAGCCAGGAAAGCAGCTGCGCCTGCACATGCCTTCTCCATTACTCAAAGCTTCTTTTTTATCCAGGCCAGTAGAAACTCTGACAAAATAGGAACAGGAGATATTTCTCACCAGGAAACTTCTTGTGGACAGTTGGCTTCCAAAAAGGCTGATTTCAATTACTTGAGAAAGAAGTTTGTTTTAGATCCTATGGAGAATTTCAAAAAAATTGATGAATAGGCATTTTATAGCTTTAACCCCAAAGTGTTTCTAATGAGTATACTTCTAACTGCCCTGGGGCACGGTAAGTGTAAATGCTGTATTTGGGTTTAAAGCCATCTGTAATCCCAGTGCTTGAGGTGGCCAAGCCAGAGGATAACCCAAGCCCAGGAATTGGAGATCTGTGCTGACAATGGAGTGAGACCATGTTTCTTTCTTGTCTTTGTTTTTTTTTTTTTTTTTTTTTTTTTTTTTCCTGAGAGATGAGTTCATTTCAAATGCCCAGCCAGTTTTTTTTTCTTTCTGAGATGGAGTCTTGCTCTGTCGCCCAGGCTGGAGTGCAGTGGCATGATCTCAGCTCACTGCAACCTCCACCTCCTGGGTTCAAACGATTTTCCTGCCCCACAGACGAACGCCACCATACCTGGCTAATTTTTGTACTTTTAGTAGAGACGGGGTTTCACTACGTTGGCCAGGCTGGTCTCGAATTCCTGACCTCAAGTGATCCACCTGCCTTGGCCTCCCAAAGTGCCGGGATCATGGCATGAGCCACTGAGGCCAGCACTTTTTTCCTTTTTTTGAGATGGGATCTCCCCAGACTGGGGTGTAGTGGTGCAGTTACAGCTCACTACAGCCTTGACTGCCCAGGCTCAAGTGATCCTCCCATCTCAGCTAGAATTACAGGCTTGAGCCACAGTGCCTGGTAATTTCCTAATTTTGTAGAGATGGGACTTAGCTATGTTGCCTACACCGGTCTTGAACTCCTGGTCTCAAGCAATTCTCCAGTCTCGGCCTTGGCCTCCCAAAGTGGTGGGATTCTAGGTGTGAGCCACTGCGCCTGGCCTTTAAAATTTCAATCTCTCCAAAGCCTCCAAAATATTCTTTAGTTAGTTCTTCAGAAGTAGCTGGGCTCAATCTGCCCACAAAAACCTTTCAGGGGGTTCTTTCCCTTTTCAAGCTTTGGCTCTTTGTGGCAGGGGTGGGGGGTGGTCCTATCAATTTGCCATCCAGCTTCTGTTCTTTCCATTCCAAGGCCTTAACAGCACTAGCATTTTCCAAAAGCACAAATACAAATCCCCTTGATCTTCCAGTAACTGTTTTAACTGTGCAGTCTGCAACCAGCCTAAATCAAGACACACCATCAGATCTTTTTGCTTGTAACACTGTACCATCATCCTGCAGATCTTGGATCCCTCTGTGATTTCCTCTGTATTGCTTGCGGTACTCATTCAGGTCTTTGCTGGTCCTGGAGGAGTTGTAGGCAGGGGGCTGCTGGTGCACACTCAGGGTAAGGAAGCAGTGTATACTATGGAGTTGGACTTCAAGTGGTGGTAGAAGACAGTCATTATAATTTTACGGGACCACGGTGGTGTGTGTGGTCTGTTGTTGACTGAAACGCCATCACCTCATGTGGGGAGCTGCCAGAAGCCTGTAAGAGTAGCTGCCTGAAGCCCTTTGGGGGTAGCACTCTAAGGTCCCTTAGATCACATGGGTGTAGCACCCTGAGGCCCTGGCGGGAATGACTGTTGGAACCTCAGTCAGTGGTAAGTGATGCCAGTGTCCTCTGTGGAGCAAACTGCTGGGGTCCCTGGTGGTTCCCACCGTGTAGCTGACACTCGTGGCCTCTGCTTTTCTTCTTTGTTCACAGTGTTCTCCTGGCATCTCAGGTATGCATTATCTCACCAGTGAACTTTTTCATGTGGACATTCTCGGGTTTTTTCGTTTTACTCCACTGTGTTGCTGCAGATCTTCAATGGGTCCTTGAGTGTTCTGGGCTATTCTGGCTTGTGAATATCTGTCTGTAGTTGATTTGTGTGTGGGTAGTGGGAGGGGGAAATGAAGGTTGGTATCTCCTACTCCACCGTCTTGGTGATGTTGCTCCACTCTTTCCTTTCTTTTTCTTCCAAAATAACCCAGCAACATTGCCCCATCTAAAGCCATTAAGATAATTCCTGGCTGGGTGCAGTGGTTCACGCCTGTAATCCCAGCACTTTGGGTGGCTGAGGTGGGTGGATCACTAGAGGTCAGGAGTTCAAGAGCAGGCTGGCCAACATGGTGAAGCCTCATCTCTACCAAAAAATACAAAAATTAGCTGGGTGTGGTGGCACGTGCCCGTGGTCCCAGCTACTCGGGAGGCTGAGGCACAAGAATCGCTTAAACCCAGGGGGTGGAGGTTGCAGTGAGCTGACAGACATCGTGCCATTGCACTCCAGCCTGGGTGACAGAGCGAGACCCTGTCTCTAGATAAATAAATAAAATAGAGCCATTAAGATAATTCCTCAAAAACAGTAAGTTGCCAGGCATTCACATTTCTCCTTTATTCTTGTTTTTGTTTTGTTTGAGACGGAGTCTCGCTCTGTCACCAGGCTGGAGTGCAGTGGTGCGATCTCAGCTCACTGCAACCTCCGCCTCCTGGGTTCAAGTGATTCTCCTGCCTCAGCCTCCCAAGTAGCTGGAACTACAGGTGCGCATCACCACACTCAGCTAATTTTTGTATTTTTAGTAGAGATAGGTTTCACCAAGTTGGCCAAGATGGTCTCGATATCCTGACCTCTTGATCCGCCTGCTTCTGCCTCCCAAAGTGCTGGAATTACAGGCGTGAGCCACCATGCCTGGACCCTCCCTCATTCTTGTTTTCTTTTCTTTGGTTGCTTGGTTTGCATTAGGACTTTCCCAGGGTGTAACTGCATCTCCCTCCCCTGTCCAATCTCCCCACCTGTCATCCCTGAGACAATAAACCTGGGTCCATCTCTGGAAGGATAAGAGCCCAGATCTGTGGCCAGTGGCTCACTGGGGCTATGGGGATGTGTTTGCATTTGAAGGTACAGATAGGGCCCCGGGAATGTCTTGGTTTCTGTGCCTGACCCAAATGTGCTGATGCCTCCCTCAGATGCCTCCCGAGAGTCAGGGGAACTAAGCATGCCCGTCTCCACACACACACACAGGCCACCCACTCTTCTCTCCATGCAGCCCCTCTGCTGCCCTTGATTAGTCACAGACACCAAGGTGGGTGAAGTAGGGAGGAGGCTGACTGTCCACAGTGGCCCCCAGCAGCCAGGTACCGGACAGAGGCATAAATGGGAGTCCCACCTTTACTCTTGCAGATGATGGCTCCTCTGGTGACGATTTCAGAATTCAACATGTTTTACAATCAAAACTAGCATTTGATAATAAATAAAAATCAACAGCCCAGCCAAACACACCATCCACATACTCCCAATGTGAGAGCAGGAAGACTCTTGTGCCTTAACTCCCTTCCTGCCAGCAGCTCCCTCTCTCCCTCCCTCCTCTGTCTCTAGCCCAGCAATCCCTCCACTCCGGTTCTGCCCAGCTGTTGGGAATCTTGGACAGCTTCCTGAGATCCCTGTGCATCCAGTCAGGGTTGGGGCAGCAGAAAACGAAGACCCACTCAAGACCTTATCAGTGCGTGCTTGACTCCTGGTCTCTCTTCTCATGCTTTGTTTGACTCGACATACCTCCTCCAACAACTTGATTTGCATTGATAAGTGTCACTGTGTTTTCCTTTGACACGACCCTGTTGCAGTTTGCCGAGCCCTTGATGGTACCAGGCTCTGGGCATGTAGAACCTACATCCTCATTGGAAACCCAGAGAGCTGAAGCTCCTCAGCCAGGGTCACAGGGCGAGCAGAGCTGGAGCCTGGACAGCAAGCCAAGCCCCTCTGTTTTGAATTCCTGCTGTTCAACGACAGCTCAGTCTCCTCCCAGGAAGTGGTGGTCCCCGCTTTGGGCGGGACAGGGTTAAGTGCCTCAGAGGTCGTAGGTTGCAGGTGGGATGTGAAGTCTGCGCAGTCGCCCACCTTCTCTGGGCTTGTGGGCAAGGACAGTGCAGCCTTGGGGGATGGGAGTTAGGAGCCCCAGCAGGTAACAGTGACCTGAGCCGTGGCACAGGTCCCCTGGCTCCATCTTATGCTCTGTTGTCACCGTCCTGAAATGATCAGCGATTTTTGAACAAGGGGACTTGCATTTCCATATTGTACAGGGGCCCCTCGAATTATGTCTCAGGTCCTGGTAAGAGCTCCTTGGGAGTGGTTACTTATTTTTTTGTATAAACAGAGTCTTGCTATGTTGCCCAGGCTGGTCCCAAACTCCTGGCCTCAAGCAATCCTCCGGCATCAGCATTCCAAAGCACGGGAGCAACAGGCGCACCACCGCACACGGCCCTGGGAGACAGGCTTTGGGGATGATGCCCGTTCCTTTGTTGTTCCGTGGTGGTGGGGAGGACGGCTCCCGAGGGGCAGCTGCCGAACAGTCCTGTGCTTGCCATTCCAGGCGTCTGAGCTGATTCTGGATGCAGCGGCAGCAGCCCCGGCACTCCCTGAGGAAAGTGAGTGGCTGGAGCCCACCCAGCTCCCGCAGAGTCTGCACACCAGGGCGGAGGCCGAGGCGCCCCGTGCCCCTGGCTTGCTGGGTGAGTCTGGCTCCTGCGTGGAATAAGGGTTGGAAATGGAGTTTGGCACCTCAACCCAAAGTCACAGACTTTGTTAATGGGTGGAGTTGGGGGCTTCGGTGGTGAACTCCACACTTCCCCCAGAAACCATGCACACCTCCTGTGGGGACTGAGATCGGGGGCCCCTAGAACTGCCACATACATCGTTCAGCCCACGAGAAGGGCCTCAGCCTCCCCACCTGAACAGCAGCCAAGGCAGACAGTCTGAGAGTGTTGGAGCACAGGGTTACCCAGAGGGCCAGCCAGGTAGGAACAAGGGGCCAGTGCTGTGAGATCTGCTCCCAAAACAGATGCCCTTCTTTTTTTTTTTTTTTGAGATGGAGTCTTGCTCTGTTGCCCAGGCTGGAGTGCAGTGGTGCGATCTCGGCTCACTGCAACCTCTGCCTCCCGGATTCAAGCGATTCTCCTGCCTCAGCCTCCTGAGTAGCTGGGATTACAGGTGCCCACCGCCACACCCGGCTAATTTTTGCATTTTAGTAGAGATGGGGTTTCACCATGTTGGGCAGGCTGGTCTCGAACTCCTCACCTCATGATCCACCCTCCTCGGCCTGCCAAAGTGCTGGGATTACAGGTGTAAGCCACTGTGCCTAGCCACATGTGCCCTTGTATCTTAAAGGACAGAACAGAGGGCACAGGGGACATATTGAGCAGAAGAAGGGCCAAGACTTGGATCAGTCATTGGGGTCCTCCATACCCCTGGGGGGCACAGGGAGATGCCAAAGCCATCCACTCACTACAGGTGACCCGTCTCCCTCGCCCTCCACAGGGTCCCGGGCCCGCCTGTCTCTGAAGCCATGTATCTGGGACGAGCCTGAGGATCTTCTCGCAGGACCCTCCTCAGACCTGCATGCAGAAGGGGCTGTGATCTCAGGCCTCAAGGGTCTGAGTGCTCAGAGAATCAGTCCCCGAAGGAGAAACAGGAACACTGACCAGAGCGGCCGCCACCAGCCATCCCTCAAGCACACCAAAGGTGGCACCCAAGAGGCTGCTGCAGGGGTCTCGGCAACGCTGTGTGGGCCCCGAGGTGGGCGGCCCTTCCAGTGTGCCGACTGCGGGATGGTCTTCACCTGGGTCACCCACTTCATCGAGCACCAGAAGACCCATCGCGAGGAAGGGCCCTTTCCGTGCCCCGAGTGTGGCAGGGTCTTCCTGCACAGCTCTGTCCTTGCTGAGCACGGCAAGATCCACCTGTTGGAGCCACCCAGGAAGAAAGTCCTGCGGAGCAAGGGCCCCCGGGAGTCTGCCCCACCCAGGGATGGAGCCCAAGGCTCAGTGGCCCCTCGCAGCCCCAAGAGACCCTTCCAGTGTAGCGTCTGCGGGAAGGCCTTCCCCTGGATGGTCCACCTCATCGACCATCAGAAACTCCACACGGCCCATGGCCACATGTGAATGGCCAGCCTCAGGTCTTGGCCACCTGGCTCTGAGTCCCTGGGGGGCACCGATGGTCCCCAGAAGATGGGGCACATCCCCCAGCCCCACCAACCCCTGGCCACCATGGGACTCCTCTTGAAGGACACAGACTGCTTCTCAGAAGATCCTGGACACCTGCTCCAGAGCCGAGCATGGCTTCCCAGGATCTCGGCCAAGAAGCAGCAGTTCCACAGCAAAACCTGGTCAGTCCTGCACACTGTGTTTTGCAAGTGGCTTGAAGAGGAGTTTCATTCGCGTCTCGTCTTTCAGAAGCCTTGTCCAGGTCTCCCTGTGAGCACCTGACTCAGGGGCAGACTCTGCCGCTGGGTTTTCATTTCACTGTGGATATCCCTGAGGCCATGAGGGCAGGAGCCGGCCTGGGCAGCTCCAACTCCAGAGAAGGGTACAGCTGACCCCGGCTGCCCTCCCGCCAGCTCAGCCCCCTTGGAACCTAACAGATAAACAGGGTTTTGTTTTTTTTCCTTTTTTGGGAAACATACAATTTACCATTTCAGTCATTAAAAATGCACAGTTCAGTGGCATTAAACACATTCACAACACTGTGCAACTACCAGCACTCTCTAGCTCCAAAGACATTTTCATCTTACCCAGAAAGAGAGCCCACAGGCCTCAGCACGCCTTCGCCATTCCGCCTGCCCTTACAACCAGAATCTGCTTCCTGTCTCTAAGGATTTCAGGCGCAGTCTTTAGGCCTGACCAAAACTGACCTGCCTATATTTTGTTTGACTTACAGAAAGAGTTTTTTTTGAGATAGATGCCAACATTTGTTTAAACCATAAAAACCTGGCATTCTGGTCTGCCAGGAAGAACCAAATGGTCTCCAAAGAGTGGAGCCGCCTCTCCTAATAGACTGGAGCAGAAGTGGGCAGGCAGTGAGGTCACAGCAGGGAGCCAGCCTCAGATTCAGCGTCTCACCCATCCCCAACTCATTGTTGCTGGACACTTGTCCTCTTTCAAGCCTTAAAAGTTTTTGTCTTTTTCTTTTTCTCCTCCCAACTTCACTTTGAAACACAGTGTTGGGCTGACTGTGAATCTGCACAGGCAGACATTTTTCCAAGTCGCCTTCTAACTCAAAAGCCTTTGGACCTACCCACGTCACATCCGCCTGCTGCTGATTCTCAACCAATCTGCCCCCACTCTCGGCCTCTGTCCCCGACGGCCCTCACGGGCTGTGCAGGTACCACGGACCCGCCGCTGCCTTCACTTCATCCTCGCTGCCATGCTTGCCTTCTCACGCTTGCCTTCTGGAGCGCCCCCAACCGGGCCTCTGGACTTTGCTTCCCCGGCTCCCTCCGGCATCCCCAGCTTTTCCCTGCAGTCCCCACTGGGGGCTCCTGGCTCTATCCTATGCCTTAATTGCTGATGGGCTCCAGCTCCCCTCCTGGGGCTTTCTCTCTCATCCTGCAAAGGAGGAGCTTCTTCTACCGAGCTCAGGATGGAGGGTGGGGTCTTGGCCCCGCAGTAAGCCCATTACTCTCGGAAGCCCCCCTGAGCCTTCTCTCAGGGGCAGATCGATCATCTCGGACAACGGGATATGTAGAGATAGCTCTCCCGAGTGTCCCCACTTGTTGGGAGCCAGGGGCTCATTCCATGCAGTTTCCATCTCGGTCTCCACCTGCTAGAGGCACAGTCACAGATGTTTGTTGGTGCCAGAATTGCACCAGAAAGTGGGTGCCATTGAACACAGGGCATCAGTCAGGCTCAAGTCTACCTGGGCTGGCCCCACAGACATCCATCTCGTGTCCCTCAGTCCTCCAATTGAGTTTGTCCAAATAACTCATCTTTCCTTGTGCAAAAACAACAAAAAACATGCAAACTGCCTCCCCTCTGGGGTTCCCACTCTCCTCAGAGGGACCACCACCTTCCAAGGCCCCAGAAGGATTTTTGATTGCCCTGGGAACCCACCTCCCAACCCCTCTCAGTTCTCTTTTCTCCTCTGCACCATCAGCCCCAGGCTCTCTCCCCATTTCTTGAATGCCTGCAGCTGCCTCTAAGCAAACTCTGCCTCCAGCCCGTTCCCTCGGCCCCATCCCCATCCTGCAGCCAACAGGGTCCCTCTAAAATGCAGACACTGAAAAGACAAACCCCAGCAGGGCAGCTCCATTGTGTCTTTTGTGGCCCTGCTGCCTCCACAGCTCCCAGCACTGGGATGGTGGAGGCTGGTGTCCTTAACTCACTGTGTCTCTGCCTAACTCCACACTGCCTCTCACCCTGGCCTCCTCCTGTGCCTAGAACAGTCTCCACTGCCACACTTGACCACACTCAGCATACAACAGGCCCTGCAGAGTGAAGGGATGACTCAATGAGTGAGGGGAAGTCCCTGTGGAGATAACTGAGACACCGTTGTGGGCTGCAGTTTCCAGCTGGGGAAGCCTCCCTCAACCTCTGAGGGGAGGTGGGCCACCCCTGGAGGGCCACTCTCACGCGCTCCACCTTAGCTGACAGAAGCAAGGACGTGGCCCAGGGTCCTGGAGCAGTTGTGGCAGCTGCCGCAACTCACGAAAGCCACCACGTTGTGTTCTTCGCCCAACCTGCCCAGTCCCAAGACCCTGCCTGAGCTGCAGTGAGACACAGCGCTAGCCCCTCTCTTCTCTTTAGGTTCACCCCAGCTGTGGAAGCCCCAGCACCTCAGCACGCCTCCCTCACCCTGTGCCTTCCTCTGCCAGCACTCCCCAAAGACCCCAACACCCCCATCATAATGTGCCCCAGTCTCCTGTCCTCCAGCCCTTGTCACAGGAGCTGTGAGCCCAGCCCTGGGCACTTAATGCTCTGGAAGACCGGAGTCTCACAGGTCACCTTTCTCCCTGGCAGCCAGGGTCTCTTGGGTCAGAGGAGGGCTGGGCACTGCTAGGTTTTGAAGCTCTCAAAAAAAAATTTTTTTTAAGGGAGAAATATGTCCAGCGAGCTGTAACTGTCACAGTATCACAGTATATTTTAAATGTATATGTTGAACAGATTAGCTTTTTAAACATTAAACATACAGCATGACACAGTTCTGCTATCCATGCTGTGATTGCAGGATTGCTTGGAAGCTGCACATCAGTGGGAGGTCCTGTCCCAGGACCTGCTCATGGTGGGCGGTCCTGTCCCAGGCCACACAGAGAGGCAACCAGCAATGCTCTGCTTGGAGATTCGGACAGGAAGCCAAGAACGAGCTGAGAAGGGCCCAGCCAGTGGTTACGAGAGAGCAGGAGGTTCAGACCACAGCAAGGGTGGCACCGGAGTAGCCTCCAGCTCATCTTATTTGACTGGTAGTGTTATTAAAGCCTTTGAAATCCCTACCAGCTTTTAAAAATCAAGAGATTTCACACAGAAATCACGATCTCTGGGTTCTTTTGAGAAATCCAGACCTGGGACGCTGGGCTTACCAGTCTGCAAGACCCCACTTGGCTGGAGCCAAGCAGCACCTGCCCCTGTAGAAAGAGCCCGCCCCTGCTGGCATGTACGGTTTAGAAACCTGGCTGAGAAAAACCGAGGATCAGAAGGTCTGAGGAAGGAAACAGAGGGGCAAGTGTGAGGGAGCTGGGCAGGGCCGCCTGGCCACCATCAGGGCTGAGCAAGCTCAGTGTGGCACCACCGACAGCTTCTCACCAGGACTATCAGACCGCTTGGGAAAAAGACTTCACCATAAGTTGTATGTTCATACCTTTTGATCCAGTAAAAGGAAACGGGTGAGGAGGTGGGGTGGGGGCAGGGGACAAAAGAGTATACATTTTGTGAAAGAAAAAAATAGACACACAAAATGTTTTGTGGCATTTGGGTTTGTGAGTGAGAGAACTGAAAAATGGCATTTTATGTACAATGGAAAGCCTCTTTACTGCAGTAGAGTGAAAAGCAGGCTGGCTTTCAGTGTGACGGTCACTAATGTGGGGCTTTACAGCTCTTGGAACGTACAGGACACCCTTAAAAGCCAAGAAGCTTGCCTTTGCTTTGTTTACATCAGTGCATTATGATTTTGAGCCATTATATCTCTTCATAATTGCCACTGTTTTAGGGCTTATGACATTTAAAGTCTTAACTTATGTGTCAACCAGCTAAATCTTTTCAAGTGTCTGTGTGTGGTATGAGAATTCGTATTGTGTTCTCTGCTGTTTTCAGAGTTCTGTCAAAGAAAAAAAAATGCCCCTGTCTTAAAACTTTTTCGAAGCTTCAAATACAGTTCCCAAGCCCAGGCTGATTGGAATTAATCAGTCCTCTCTTAAAAGGGCAAAAGCACAAGGCTCAGCCCTGGCTTTCCCAGCTCCTCTCGCCTGGCTGCTCCATGCACGTGTGATGTATGCTGGTGAAACGAAGCCCGCTTGAATGGGGGCTTCGCTACTGTGTGCTGCTGAACCTGGGCCTAGCGCCTGGCAGGCTTTGGTGAATGTTCAAAAAATGACAATTCATTTCGTGTCCGCAAGAACATACCAGCTTTGAATATTATGCTGCTGTTCAAATGCACAATTTTGACTACCTAGCAATGTCCGAAGTCGTCACAATTGTTAGCGTCTTGCACATTGTGTTCCTTATAACCATGTAATAAATACAGCAGGAAGTCTCCATGGCTGCCTCAGTGTGGAAAATGCAAAGACTCCCGTGTGTGCGATCTTGGTGAATGCTTTGGTTTAAAGTATGTGTTTTGAAAAACCATTGCTTTGTTTGCAGCAATAAAGCTGACGGTGGAGTTTCCAACACGAAAGCCCGTGTGGTCGCGCCGGGAGCTCACGGCGTTCCAGGTGGCCCCGATCCCGCGTTGATGCCCAGGCACCTCCCGCGCCCTGTTTCACCAGGCCCGGTGACTCCAGTTCTAGCAGCACTGAGAGGCCGCCAAAGCCAAGGGCGAGATCGACTTGGGGACCGGCGGCCGGAAATGCGCGCGCGGCTCTCTGGGAAATGGAGTCAGGCGCGCGCAGGCGCAGTGTCGGCCGCCGGTGCCGCGGCCTTTGTCTAGCCGTCAGGCGGGTGAGCTAGGCCGGCGACGTGGGGGAGGGGAGGCCAGGCTGGGCCGGGCCGGGCCGGGTGCGGGGCTCCGGGGATCTTCCTGGGGCCCTGGCGGGGCGAGTTTCCAGCAGCGCGCGTCTGTGTGGAGTCCGTTTTGCTGCCCGGGGCCTGGGGAAGGCCGTTTCGGGGCTGGCGGGGACAGGCTTTGGGAGGCATCCCTGGTCTGAGAGGAGGGCGGGGCCCAACGCTCAGCTGACCTGGAGCTGCTCCGACAGCCCCTGAGGGAACGCGCGCCCCGCCCCCGGCCCCACCTCTGCCCTACACCGGGCACTGGGCCGCCACCCTTGTTGCTAGAAGAGGGAAAGTGAGGCACAGTGCCCAGGGCCAGGGGACCGCGACCACCCGGTCCTTGTCACTGTAGCGTTAAGGCCCAGAGTCTACGCAGCAGGCATGTGTCGGCACCCGCCAGGCCCTCAGCTTCCCTCAGACAGGCGGGAAAACCCTAGGCTGCCCTTCCCCGTGCGGGGTCCGCCCCACACACAGCAGGCGCTTAAACGGGTACGCGGGGCCCTGGCGGGCTCTCCACGGAGCTAGGCTCTGGCGCAGTTCCGCGGCCTGGGGACCTGAGCACCGCCTCGGCCTCCCAGCTGCTCACCTCCCCTTTCCCACAGAGCAGGGCCAGCCGTTCCTGCCAGAAGCCAGGGCATGACCCCTGGGCTGCGCGTCTCCACAGACCCGGTGAGAATCTCGGCCTCCTCGCGCGTGTTCTCCACCTCGTGCGCGGCCTCCTCACACCCGGCCTCCTCTTTGCACCCCGTCCCTACTCGCGCGTAGCCTCCTCCTTGCGCCGGGCCCCTACTTCGTGCCCGGCCTCTGCTCGTGCTCGGCCTCTGCCTGCACGCCCGGCCTCCTGAAGTCCGCGCCGGGCTCCCCAACCACAGCGTCTGCTCTGCCCACGCTGCGCTGGCGGTCAGCGGGCACGGGTCCTGGTCTGAGCGGGCTTTATGTTTGTGCGGCCGTCATTGCATACCTGGGGCTGGGTGATGTCAGACAACTGTAGGTGCCCTGACTCTGTAGTCTGAAGTTGAAGGCCTTCGCATGCTCTGCGCTCCAAGATGGCGCATCGAGTGCCGCTTCCTCAGACGGCTTGGAGGCCAAGGGGGCGGAACTCGCCTTTTTATGATGACATTAACCCCACCCATAAGCCCCCGAAAGAAACCGGCCTCCTGTGGGAATGTCAGAAAACCCATACAGGCCGGGCGCGGTGGCTCAAGCCTGTAATCCCAGCACTTTGGGAGGCGGAGACGGGTGGATCACGAGGTCAGGAGATCGAGACCATCCTGGCTAACACGGTGAAACCCCGTCTCTACTAAATATTACAAAAAACTAGCCGGGCGAGGTGGCGGGTGCCTGTAGTCCCAGCTACTCGGGAGGCTGAGGCAGGAGAATGGCGTGAACCCGGGAGGCGGAGCTTGCAGTGAGCCGAGATCTGGCCACTGCACTCCAGCCTGGGCGACAGAGCAAGACTCCGTCTCAAAAAAAAAAAAAAAAAAAAGAAAACCCATACAAGGGGACTGGTGCGGTGGCTCGTAGCTGTATCTGTAAGCCCAGCTACGGGGGAGGATTGCTTGAGCCCAGGAATTGGAGGCTGCAGTGAGCCATGATCGTGCCACTGCACTCCAGCCTGGATGACAACGAGACCCAGTCTCTAAAAAATTAAAAAACTCAGATTCAGGCCGGGCGCGGTGGCTCACGCCTGTAATCCCAGCACTTTGGGAGGCCGAGGCGGGCGGATCACGAAGTCAGGATATCAAGACCGTCCTGGCTAACACGGTGAAACCCCATCTCTACTAAAAATAGAAAAAATTAGCCGGGCGAGGTGGCGGGCGCCTGTAGTCCCAGCTACTCGGAAGGCTGAGGCAGGAGAATGGCGTGAACCTGGGAGGCAGAGCTTGCAGTGAGCTGAGATCGCGCCACTGCACTCCAGCCTGAGCGACAGAGCGAGACTCCGTCTCGGAAAAAAAATAAAAATAAAAAAAGAAACTCAGATTCAGTCTTTAGACTTGCTGCTACTAGCTTTATAACCTTGTTTATCCCCTAGGCTAAAGTGCAGTGATGCAATCACGGCTCACTATAGCTTCAAACTTGTGTGCTCAAGTGATCCTCCCCACTCAGCCTGTTGAACAGCTGGGACCACGGGCATGTGACACCATGCCGGACTGGTCCACTCCTTTAGTGTTGGCTCCTCTGCACCATTTCTTATTTCAAGAGACAAATTATTGGAAATGGGAATGATGCCTTAGATTCTAAGATCCTCCACCTCATCAGCAGGGCCCCCATCCAGGCCCCACAGAAAAACCTGACCCAAAACCCCAGACCAAAGAGAACTCCATCCGACCCAGCCTGGCTGGCATTCACCAGCTACCCCACCTACAGCCAGTGCCAGGGTTGGCTTGGCTGAGGACACATGTGTGATGTTTCAGGAGCAAGTGACCTTTGAGGACGTGGTGGTGGACTTCAGCCAGGAGGAGTGGGGGCAGCTGAAGCCTGCCCAGAGGACCCTGTACCGTGATGTGATGCTGGACACCTTCAGGCTTCTGGTCTCTGTGGGTAAGGCCATACTCATGCCCTATCTGATGGTCTGTCCCTGACATGAATTCTGATTCTACTAGGTTAAATATGGGTATAGGATGGAGCTTTAAAAGCAAATGCCTGGGCTGTATGTCTTGGGCTTTAGGAACCTGACTGTTTTAATGTAGGAAATATCAATTAGGACCAGTATCAACAAGTCTCAGACTCAACCTGAAATCAACAGAAGCAGAGAAACATACTGGGTCTCAAGACTACAGAATCCCAGGGTAGAACAGGGTCTTCACGAGCCCCTCCTTCTTTAACACCTCCCTCTGCACTTCTGTCTTAGTCTGTTGGGGCTGCTAGAATACCTTAGACTGGGTAATTTATAAACAATAGATATTTGTTGCTTATGGTTCCAGAGGCTGGGAAGCCTAAGATCAAAGTGTCAGCAAATTCAGTGTTTGGTGAGGGCCTGCTCCTCACTCATGGCACTTCCTTCCTGTATCCTGACATGCCATAAGGGGCAAGGGAGCTCTCTCAAGCTTTTTTAATTTTTTTATTTTTTATTTATTTATTTATTTATTTTTGAGACAGAGTCTCGCTCTGTTGCCCAGGCTGGAGTGCAGTGGCTGGATCTCAGCTCACTGCAAGCTCCGCCTCCCGGGTTCACGCCATTCTCCTGCCTCAGCCTCCCGAGTAGCTGGGACTACAGGCGCCTGCCACCTCGCCCGACTAGTTTTTTGTATTTTTTAGTAGAGACGGGGTTTCACCGTGTTAGCCAGGATGGTCTCGATCTCCTGACCTCGTGATCCACCCGTCTCAGCCTCCCAAAGTGCTGGGATTACAGGCTTGAGCCACCGCGCCCGGCTCAAGCTTTTTTTATAAGGGTCCTAATCCCATTCATGAGTGGAGCCCTCATGAATTAATCACTTCCCCAAGGCCCCACCTCAACACTATCACATTGGGTATTACATTCCAACATTTGAACCTTTTTTATTTATTTTTTATTTATTTATTTTATTTTTTATTTTTGAGATGGAGTCTTGCTGTGTTGCCCAGGCTAGAGTGCAGTGGTGCGATCTCAGCTCACTGCAAGCTCCACCTCCCAGGTTCACACCATTCTCCTGCCTCAGCCTCCCGAGTAGCTGGGACTACAGGCACCCACCACCACACCTGGCTAATTTTTTTTTTTTTTTTTTTGTATTTTTAGTAGAGACAGGGTTTCACCGTGTTAGCCGTGATGGTCTCGATGGTCCTGACCTCCTGATCTGCCTGTCTCAGCCTCCCAAAGTGCTGAGATTACAGGCGTGAGCCACCGTGCCTGGCCTGAACCTTTTTTATTTTTAAGAAACAAGGTCTTGTTCTCTTGCCCAGGGTGGAGTGCTGTGGCACAGTCATACTTACTGCACACTCAACCTCCTGGCTCAAGTAAACCTCCCATTTCAGTCTCCCAAGTAGCTGGGACTACAGGTGCATACCACCATACCCAGCTAATTTTTAAAATTTTGTAGAGACGGGGCCTTGCTGTGTTGCCCAGGCTGCCCTCAAGCTCCTAGGCTAAAGCTCCCACCTCAGCCTCCCAGAGTGCTGGAATTACAGGCATAAGCCACTATGCATAGCCTAAATTTTAGGGGGACACCAACATTCAGACCATAGCAATCTCTTTCTGGCTTCATTTCCAGAGAGGCTCCTCTGGAGGTGACAAGACAACTGCCAGGGTGCCTTTCTTGGGACCAAGACCAGCAGAAAAGACAGGGTCTGTGTCCCAGGGTTGTCCTGGTTTGGCTGCCAGGTCTTCTTCACAGTGATCATTGTTGCCAGCGGGCAGGGGAGGAACCAGAGTTCTGATTGTCCAGGCCAGACATGGGGTCACATGTCCACCCCAGAAGCCAGGGGTAGGGTCGGGGACTGAGAGTAGGGGAATGAGTCCCTGGGGAACATCCAGGGCTGTTGGTATGACAGCTGAAGTCACTCAGGGGCCCCCAGCCATCTGGGACCTGGAAGACCAAAGGTGGAATGGGCTGAGGCTCAGGAAGGGTCCTGGG